TATACTCATAGAGCGATAAAGAGTAGGTGTATCTTTTCTGAATTTACTATTACTTTTATTATCTATGGTGGTTAATTATTTTACGGCGTGCTCACTTGTTCCAATTTGCCATTTTATTTCTATTCATTACATTTTCTCTCCATTGAGTGACGAGTCGTTTAATATTGTTTGGAATGCCTCGCTAGTGTGGTTCTTTCGTTAAAGAACAAATCTTTTTTAAAAATAAGAGCTGGTGCTCCACTCGATGAAAGAGCAAACTTTCATTTGGAACAGTTTAAATGCTCAAAATCGAGGTATCCATTTGATACTAGGTAGTCAGAAGTTTTATCATTCTCTTGTGATGATTCGATTACTAAACACGACAAAATATTGCAATGCGTATGTATGCAACAATGTATGCAGTACTCTGTGGTAGCACAATTTATATTTCTTGCCTGTACCATTGCGGCAAATCAACAATACATATAAAACTATTATACATATTCAGGGTTCTTTAATATATGAGTTTATTATTATTATAATTATTATTATTATTTTATTATTATTATTATTATTACTATTACTTTATCATTTCCATCAGTACCATCTACATTGATACGATCGTTTCCATTCTCGTCATTACCATTACTATGAAGTTCATGATTCTTACTATTAATATCGTTGCTGTTGCTGCTACAAATACTGCTAAATCAACTAATTATCATTATCATCTTTTACAATGTGATCGTGGTTAAAGGTTCATAAAGTTATTAACGTGAATATCATTTTTATGCAGCTTATTATCCCTTGCAGTTATCATTACTTCTACTTATTCTTGTACATCAGATTATTTTTCTTTCTCCTTATTTTGCTATTATTGCAATGGTTACCAAACGATTGCTACTGGTATTGCTATTATTCATGACTTACTTTCTATAATACTACCCTCATTATTACTAATATATTATTACTACTATTCCTATTTCTATTATTGCTACTGTTATTGATATTAATACCGTTTCTTTATTTATTATTCTTATTATCATTGATACAATCATTATAGTGTTCACCATGGCTGTCTTCACAAAATTCTCATTTCCATTGAAATCATCCCATTGAGTCGTCGTCACTAATTGATTATTACTACAATTATTACTATTGCTACTACCACTACTACAACTGCTGCTACTACTATTACTACTACTATCACTACCATTGCTACTATTACTATTATAGTTCGTTATTGTAATGATACATTATGTTATATTATTATACTATATTACATTATATTATATTACAATTATTAATTGTTCATTTTCAAGTTAACTCTTAAAGGCATTTCAATGAAAAAAAAGATTCTTATTTTTTAATATAAAGTTAAGCTGTAATATTCGGCACATGAATATAATAAAAAGCATGGTTCACTATTAATGGATGACTATAGATTCATTGTCAGTGAAAGTAAATAAATGATGTGTATACTGGTTTGTTAAATAAGTGTTGCAATCTTGCAAGACCCATTCCCTTAACTACGTAGTGTGTTTTTATTTTCTATTTTTTTTTCTCTTGGATGGACATGTATATAATAGTGGCTGTCTTTTATATTTGCGCATGGTATTTTAAGGTGCACAGTCGTATATATTATTTAATATATGTATTGAATATATGTCTATTATACTTATGCACGTTCAGGTTTAGTCCTTTATTATTGAAATGCACCGCTGACAGATCTGTAAAGACTGACGATTCGAACATGGTGAACGGAGTGGACGAGGCTGTCTCAAGTGCACACACAACGGAAGATTCTGAACAAGTATCTAGGTGTGAATGTAATGTCCCTACTGCCTCACAAAATTCCCAGTCACAAGCTGGAGTGACTTCTACCTTCCCTGTAGTAAGTACACTGTTATCTTTCTTATTATCCAATTTATTTGTCTTGCATTAGCATTGTGTGTCTTCATAGTATTACAGTATCAAGAGTAACGATCAGCATCAAATGAAAAGTATATAAATGTCTTATTGAAATTACGAAGGTACACTAATTTACTTTAAGTTAGATCAACGATATCAATGTTCCTTTTTACTAAGCGTACAATACATACAGATAGCTGTAAACGCTACTGTTTGAAAGACTTTTATGATTGTACCAAGCAGAGTACAGTAATGCTAATAAGAGTATTCTTCCAATGTACGTGGGACCTTAATAGATAATAGATGTCTTTGTCTTTATTCTAGGATCTTACAAGACCGAGTTATGCCCAAGTAGCACAGCACTGTCGCGAACTACCTTGTACAAAACATAAGACAGATGAAAGGGATGGAAATGTATAAATCAATACGTAAGTAAATGATTCTTATACCACATTATCGTTGGTTGTTTCCTATCGCAGAAATAAGCAACAAAGCTTCTCCCCACTGATAATTTGTCAAGACGGAGATGTAACTTTGCAGATACTACAGCAGCGAATTTCGATAATTAGCTGTTATTCTTCATCTGGATTATATGGATTATGTACCACTGCTTTTTATCCTACATCGGATATAGTGGGTATGAAGAAAACTTTTTACATTGTACAGTGACACTTCGCCTACAATGAATGGTGGTATCGATTAACTATATAAACGATTATCGACAAAAGAAAAAAAATTATTTGAAGAGACTCTAATTCGCTGCATATTTAAACTGAAAAAAAAGAACAAAAAAATACGTTTGCTGGCAGGATAATACATTGCGTAGAAGAGTATTGTTATTGCTTTGGTTCTGTGATTTTGGAGGTATATATTTGTTAGCTTGTAAAAATGTTAAAGTAAGGTATTAATCTTTTAATTCCTTTCTCCTCTCCCCTTTCATAGCACAGGGCCGTAACTGGGAAATGTTTATCTTTGTGCCAAACCTTGCTATGAGCGTACAGCTTAATGAATGTTCAGAGTGCAACGAAACTTTTTCTCAGACATAATTTCTGATTTCAAAGAAAATCTATACAAACACGAATGTGACTTTTAGAACAGATAAATCATAAGGATGCTTATTTTGAGAAAAAGAGATTGATTCATTTTTGTTTTCTTATCATTTTCTTATTATTTATAGGCGAGACTGCGTACTTTCCAGAATATCTATAGCAAACAAAGCATGAACGAACAGTATACAAACGAAATTCCAGAATACTACCAAGATTCAATTTAAAAAGACTCTAAAAACTGAAAGAGGTACAATAATAATTAACTGCTCCATGTGTGAGATATAAACTACTCGTGGTCTCACACGACTGTTGCCTACAGTACTCTAGTATACTATCGTTGTGACGAACAAGAATTTCGTTGTATCTATCATAACATCCATTCTACGATATCAGCAGTATAGCAATTACATTGTCATCGTGCATATTGCTGATAAAAGCGTATTATAATTTCTCTATAAATAACATTATTTAAATTGAGAATAATTAGTTCTTCTAGAATAATTAGCTTCTGTTTTCACGCATACGAATCACAGGTTGATTGATGTTGGTTTGTTATATTTTCTCTATTTTGTTTTCTATGCATTTGATAATTAATAAAGACGTTCAGTCTACCAAGACTCACCTATTTCGCCGTAATAATATCTAAGGCAAGAATGGAAATCCGGTATACTTATAAGAAATTACCTGTAATGTTTATAAGAACAGAATATATGCAAGAAAATAGAATAACACAGGAAATTTATAAGTGAGAACAACAGGATATTTCGAAAATATAACATTCCATTGATCCAAATAATCTTTTGCCTCGACTAAAGAGCTTTAAAATTATTTTCCAGGTGAATCAAAAATATTAATAATAACAAACCAATTGTTCGTTATTAATATTCTGGAAATGATATGAAATAGATTTTAATATTTCGTTTCGTTCATTTTGAATGAAAAAGAGCGAAGAAGCTAATTGTTATCGGCGGTCTTTAGGCACCTATTTACGGCACTGACCTTTTCTTTTTAATATTATACTGTTATATAAGATAACATACGATTTAGAATTATGCTTTGGCAAGTAATATAAGAGTTGTCAAAAGTATGGTCTTTGAGCACACGTTTAAGTGCCTCAAAATGTTGTGAATATTACAGGAGCTTGGCTTTAGATGTTATATAATTACATGTACCTATACATTATAGTAAAGAAGCGCATATGATATATTTGTTACTGATATGCGTAAAGAAAATCGAAGTAATACGGATATTAAAGGGAAAAAACCAATCTCCTGAACTATAAAACAATTACCAACGTGTATAATTATATTTTACATTTACGATACTGCCTTTTCATTTTCTTTTTATATATCCGAAATGATTAGTCACTAACGTTGGGTACGCAGAAGAAATTTGTTGTCGAATTGTAAACGGATTAGGATTATCATTACTAATTGTTTCAATTTAAATCGTGGTGCTGTAAAACACTTTGCTTTAGCCTCAGTCTTCTAGCACAACTTACATTGATCGACGATACCTTGAGAAAATTTTGATGTAACGCGGTCGATTACATCGAGAAATAAGTATGGATATATTTAACGTAAACGTACGTAAAAAAAATACGAATATCTTTTCATTAGTAAATTCACTCGTTTCAAGTTGTTTTGTATCTTCTAATATCATTTCGTATTTGATGTGTGGATTTATTATATTTTTTTTTGGTTTGATTATCGTTCTATTTTATTTTATTGTCCTCTTGATACGACGCATGATGTGAAATGGGATAAACGGAGCTTGAACACTTTCCAAGGAAAGCGAAACTTGCTTTTAAACTTTCCTCGATGACTTTCTTTTCTGAACTCGTGTGATGTAATATCTCAGTGAATATGCAATAGTACGTTAATGTCACACCACCTTTAATTATGCCAATAAATAACGAATGTCCAATTATCGCCAGTAATGTAAAAAGAAAAGTGTGCATCGTATTGTACAGTATTTTTAATTCAACCGAAATCAACTTTTTCTTCAGCTCTAAATATATATTTTAATGTTTTAATATCGTACGGAATCAATTAAAGAAGGAACGTTTAATAATTACATGGTAACAGTAATCAATCAGTCAATTAATTTTCTTAGTTTATACATAATGTACATTGCATAGTGTGAATTTACTGATAAAAAGATTTAATATAGATACGAAAGATACAGATACACATACATGTACGTATATATATAAATACATATATATATATATATAAAAATTGGATAAGCATTAATATTTCTCGATAATGGAGTTTTTAGAGGAACGTAAATAATGTTGAAGTAATTTTGTCCTTACTTTATGCGTTATCCTATAAATTATGTATAGCTAATTATGTGTATGCTTTGAATATTCATTTTAATTATCGCTGCGGATTATATGTAAAAAAAATTTGAAAGTTGATTCCTCTCTATACATTGTCTTTACTAAATGTATGGAACTTAAATGTAAGCAGATGATAAAACTGTTGGTATATTATATTATACCTGTACAATACAAAGTGAGAAATAGACGCGCCAATACCTTGGATCCTGACGATCGCCAGTTTTCTCACTAGTAACTGACTCATTACTTTGTAAAATCGTATGCACATGATGAAACTTGTTGTCTTCGCCGTTTTGAGAAAATTCGGTATAGTGACGAAACTGTTTTTACTATCGGTATAACTAAAAAAGAGGAGTTTATAATGATTTCAAGTTGACGAATGGTTCTACGTGGTCCAGGGTAAGGGTAGCATACTGAGAGCAAAAATTGTGATTGGAATGTATGAAAGAAGAAGAAGAGAAGGTATATTAGAACTCTGTTCATTTTTACTAATCTCGTCACAGAGTCGGTGGCTGATAAACTTACGTTAAACTCATTCATCAGAATAAAACTGTGATTAGATTGAAGTCCAACAGAAATACAATGTATAATGTACTCCGTTTTATAGGCTTACAGGGCCTAGAAAGTCTGATTTTTTAACTACTACGAAGAAAACTTGTGTATTATAATATGATCTATAATGTTTGTTTATTACTATGTAAAGTCACAGATTTCAAAATTAAACATTAATTACTGTTATTGATTTTTTGCTTTTACTTTAATAACTATAAATCTCGCATTGCATTCACGTTGTTTCATTCGTTAAGAGATTTGTATAGATGCAGTCTAGAACGAAATATGGCCTAGCGTTTGTGAATATTATTAAAGAAAAAGAATAAAATAAAATAGAGTGTAAAACCGAGGTATTCCGGTAAATACGGTGGTAATTGATGTATTTGTATACATACGAAGAGAACCATTTCTGCATGTAATTTTATTCAGGGCACGAAGAAACTGCCAATATCTTTAAAACAAGAGACTGACAGTGTCTTTACACAAAAGATGCAGATTCGATTTAAAATTGCGTGACATCTTGATTATTGTTCCACAAAAGACGTAACAATTGTTTCGCATATACAGAGCCGAAAAGATTTTGTACATTAGAACGAATCAAATCAAACGATATGTATCTGATATAATATTACCTACCGGCGAAATGATTCGCGGTACATGAAACATTACCTCATCGATGGTACGCGTTACTTTCAAATCATGTGGATAGTAGTTACGTACATTGATTCTGTAACATGACTATTTCATAATGTATAAACCGACGGCGGGGAAATAAGCTTGAATCGTTATTAACATTAGTCGCGAGGAAACAAACTTAAAACAAATATTATTTTACGAATTACGACGTCAATACCTATTAATGATGTACAATCACAACGTATAATCATTTAATACTTTGTCTTCCTTTACATTTTGTATATTGTTGATAGAAATTAACGTCAATTACTATAGGTTCTCATTTCCGCTTGTTTAAGCATGAAAACACGTTTGTAGTACACGTAGCGATAGGACCTTACCGTTTCACCTGAGTGTCCGTTTCCTAACGTGTAAAGAATAGTATTTATTTGTATTTGACGTTTTATGTTACTTACATGCGAACGGGAAAAGAGAATTATAGCACAAATGTTCAACGAGAATAAGTAAATCCTTTCTTTATCAAAATGTGCAAGGCGACAATATTAAAAGCGTATCGAAAGTAATTATTTTTGCGACGTTCGAAGTATAATTATTTTGTTCCTTGAATACAAAAGAAGAAATGGGAAATATTTTTAATTGTACTATGCTTATGATACTATTAGTATGTTGTATTAAAATATCCAAAGTTGAAACTCTCGGGAAATGCTGCATTTTTCAATACGCATCACGTTAATAACCGGTTTGATGATTTCAAATGAGGTGTGAAATGTGTACAGAGAACGATTATGGAACGGTACACGAGTTTTTCTTAAACCATTTGTAACTACTGAATTGACCACTTTTGCAAACGAGCGTAGAGTAAAATTAAAATAAGGAACCGAGTAAACTACTGAATTAAATTGCATCTAGCGCCTGAGATATTATCGATCCATAAACATACATCATTATATATGTATTAAGGGAGAAAAGAGAGAGAACAAAAAACGAAGCAAATACTAAAACAGCGACAAATACTTTGTTACTCTTGTATTTATAAACTAATTTGATAATCGAACATTCCTGATGAAAGAGGTCTTCGTTGGTATTCTGCGTATCTCGCATGTCATGTTATATCCTCGATAAAGAAAATTGCAAATTGTAAATAAGATTTGTTTATCATAGTAGGCACTGGACTACAATGTCTAAAAGTATAATCGGATCGGCAAGGTTCCCGGAAAGTATAAGCAAATGTATTTTCGATGCGTTCATAGGTGATTCGCGACCTTTCAACTGTACCGTGTAATGTTAAATCGTTTATGTTCGGACGGAAACCGGCGCAGTAAATCTGAATTGCTTTCGAAATGTTGGAAAACTAAACCATGCTTTGTCACGAGTGACATCGAGTTCAAACGAAATTTGATCAAAGCGATCGCGACGAGGTCTTGCACTTCAAGTAATATAAGAAAGAATGTGAACGGTTGATTGTCTTCTGACGATCTGAGGAGAATGCGTTGAGTTACCAGTTCATACAATTTCAAGTAACACGTATATATATATGCAATAAGTTTACCGAACTGTTAAGATTTATATATTCTGATACACAAGAGGAAATAATTTTTCAACTATAAGAATTCCACTGCAATAAAAATGATGACAAATGTGACATGAACTACGCGATGTATTTTATTATAATAACATTAATTGATACATATTTGGGTCCAAACCTTTTGCTTAGAGAAATATATGAACGCTCTTCGATTATATATATGATTTGAACGGTTGCCTGCTTGAGTTACGAATCGGTGGATTTCCACACACACACACATATACGCATGTACACTGCGAACTTAAAGAGTCAATTTGAGAAATCGTTTAGGAACAATGCTGAAAAATGGTACGAAAAGTATTTTCGTTAAGTCGAGCAAAAGCTTTCAAACAAAATTTCTCATTCCCGTGAATGCGACAGAAGGCAAGATAAGAAATGTTCTCGATAATTACACCGTTTTTGCTTCTGTAATACCTGTAACACCGCGTCATAATATCATCAGTTAATATTGCGGACGAGCTCGTTGTACGTTCAGTGCCTTTTTTACATATACATTCACATGTATGTAAAAATCAATTGATCCTTTTGTATCTATCAATATCTTCCAATCTCTCCGTGAGAGGAGGTAGCACGATATGAAATTAAATCGGGAAGCTCTAGTATTCTCTGCCGGTCGAAGCAAAGAATAAGAGCAGAGATATATAAGGAAACTTAATTGAACGTTGGCTTATTTCCGTGTACACGAGTGTTACAAAGTATGGTGTATAAAATAAGCCAAATTTGAATTAAGCGTATTTACGTATACATACATAACATACATACATATATATATATATAATTTAGCGTTAGTGTGCTTGATTTAAAGTGCATAATTTTTAAAGGTAACACGCATATTTTTATAAATTTCGGTATTGATACGATGGTTTGCTATATAAATATATAAATAAATAAATATATATATATAAAATATATAAATATATACATACGAGAATGTATAGGATGTATAATGTACATGTAAGAATTACAATGATCTACGGCAAATGATTATATATATATATATATATATATATATAAATTCGTTAAGAGATTTGTATAGATGCAGTCTAGAACGAAATATGGCCTAGCGTTTGTGAATATTATTAAAGAAAAAGAATAAAATAAAATAGAGTGTAAAACCGAGGTATTCCGGTAAATACGGTGGTAATTGATGTATTTGTATACATACGAAGAGAACCATTTCTGCATGTAATTTTATTCAGGGCACGAAGAAACTGCCAATATCTTTAAAACAAGAGACTGACAGTGTCTTTACACAAAAGATGCAGATTCGATTTAAAATTGCGTGACATCTTGATTATTGTTCCACAAAAGACGTAACAATTGTTTCGCATATACAGAGCCGAAAAGATTTTGTACATTAGAACGAATCAAATCAAACGATATGTATCTGATATAATATTACCTACCGGCGAAATGATTCGCGGTACATGAAACATTACCTCATCGATGGTACGCGTTACTTTCAAATCATGTGGATAGTAGTTACGTACATTGATTCTGTAACATGACTATTTCATAATGTATAAACCGACGGCGGGGAAATAAGCTTGAATCGTTATTAACATTAGTCGCGAGGAAACAAACTTAAAACAAATATTATTTTACGAATTACGACGTCAATACCTATTAATGATGTACAATCACAACGTATAATCATTTAATACTTTGTCTTCCTTTACATTTTGTATATTGTTGATAGAAATTAACGTCAATTACTATAGGTTCTCATTTCCGCTTGTTTAAGCATGAAAACACGTTTGTAGTACACGTAGCGATAGGACCTTACCGTTTCACCTGAGTGTCCGTTTCCTAACGTGTAAAGAATAGTATTTATTTGTATTTGACGTTTTATGTTACTTACATGCGAACGGGAAAAGAGAATTATAGCACAAATGTTCAACGAGAATAAGTAAATCCTTTCTTTATCAAAATGTGCAAGGCGACAATATTAAAAGCGTATCGAAAGTAATTATTTTTGCGACGTTCGAAGTATAATTATTTTGTTCCTTGAATACAAAAGAAGAAATGGGAAATATTTTTAATTGTACTATGCTTATGATACTATTAGTATGTTGTATTAAAATATCCAAAGTTGAAACTCTCGGGAAATGCTGCATTTTTCAATACGCATCACGTTAATAACCGGTTTGATGATTTCAAATGAGGTGTGAAATGTGTACAGAGAACGATTATGGAACGGTACACGAGTTTTTCTTAAACCATTTGTAACTACTGAATTGACCACTTTTGCAAACGAGCGTAGAGTAAAATTAAAATAAGGAACCGAGTAAACTACTGAATTAAATTGCATCTAGCGCCTGAGATATTATCGATCCATAAACATACATCATTATATATGTATTAAGGGAGAAAAGAGAGAGAACAAAAAACGAAGCAAATACTAAAACAGCGACAAATACTTTGTTACTCTTGTATTTATAAACTAATTTGATAATCGAACATTCCTGATGAAAGAGGTCTTCGTTGGTATTCTGCGTATCTCGCATGTCATGTTATATCCTCGATAAAGAAAATTGCAAATTGTAAATAAGATTTGTTTATCATAGTAGGCACTGGACTACAATGTCTAAAAGTATAATCGGATCGGCAAGGTTCCCGGAAAGTATAAGCAAATGTATTTTCGATGCGTTCATAGGTGATTCGCGACCTTTCAACTGTACCGTGTAATGTTAAATCGTTTATGTTCGGACGGAAACCGGCGCAGTAAATCTGAATTGCTTTCGAAATGTTGGAAAACTAAACCATGCTTTGTCACGAGTGACATCGAGTTCAAACGAAATTTGATCAAAGCGATCGCGACGAGGTCTTGCACTTCAAGTAATATAAGAAAGAATGTGAACGGTTGATTGTCTTCTGACGATCTGAGGAGAATGCGTTGAGTTACCAGTTCATACAATTTCAAGTAACACGTATATATATATGCAATAAGTTTACCGAACTGTTAAGATTTATATATTCTGATACACAAGAGGAAATAATTTTTCAACTATAAGAATTCCACTGCAATAAAAATGATGACAAATGTGACATGAACTACGCGATGTATTTTATTATAATAACATTAATTGATACATATTTGGGTCCAAACCTTTTGCTTAGAGAAATATATGAACGCTCTTCGATTATATATATGATTTGAACGGTTGCCTGCTTGAGTTACGAATCGGTGGATTTCCACACACACACACATATACGCATGTACACTGCGAACTTAAAGAGTCAATTTGAGAAATCGTTTAGGAACAATGCTGAAAAATGGTACGAAAAGTATTTTCGTTAAGTCGAGCAAAAGCTTTCAAACAAAATTTCTCATTCCCGTGAATGCGACAGAAGGCAAGATAAGAAATGTTCTCGATAATTACACCGTTTTTGCTTCTGTAATACCTGTAACACCGCGTCATAATATCATCAGTTAATATTGCGGACGAGCTCGTTGTACGTTCAGTGCCTTTTTTACATATACATTCACATGTATGTAAAAATCAATTGATCCTTTTGTATCTATCAATATCTTCCAATCTCTCCGTGAGAGGAGGTAGCACGATATGAAATTAAATCGGGAAGCTCTAGTATTCTCTGCCGGTCGAAGCAAAGAATAAGAGCAGAGATATATAAGGAAACTTAATTGAACGTTGGCTTATTTCCGTGTACACGAGTGTTACAAAGTATGGTGTATAAAATAAGCCAAATTTGAATTAAGCGTATTTACGTATACATACATAACATACATACATATATATATATATAATTTAGCGTTAGTGTGCTTGATTTAAAGTGCATAATTTTTAAAGGTAACACGCATATTTTTATAAATTTCGGTATTGATACGATGGTTTGCTATATAAATATATAAATAAATAAATATATATATATAAAATATATAAATATATACATACGAGAATGTATAGGATGTATAATGTACATGTAAGAATTACAATGATCTAC